TTATGTAACCATCAAGAAAGTTATTAAAAAAATAATTAATGAAAAAAAATAATTAATGAAAGCTTGACCAACAGAACGCAACATGTAGAGTGGAGACCTTTGAAATGAACAATTGAGTAAATAATTAATTAAAATAAAATCATGTCACATAATTGTTTTTACTCATTTCTTTAATACTTAAATTAATCAAAAGCGTGATCCGTTCCAGTCAAAAAACACATTTTTTGATTAGATCATTACATATCACTTAACATGATTTGATTCATATATAATATTGATTTACACGACCCTACTGAAAGTCATCGGATATGTCATAAACCATATTATAATTACATATTGAACATCTGAAAAGCATCATATGATTTGACCATAGAAATATCAAATTTGGATATTTTTCGGGCTGCCTAAATTTGGGACTCCAAATTTAAAATGCACTTATTTAACTATGGAAATTTTTATCATTATTATAAAATAAATAAATAAAATTAAAACCCAAGAATATTAATTCATGTTAGTAAAACATATTTTTCCATGAGTTATTTTAAAATAAGCTTCTAGAATAATTAATGACAAGTTCAACATGATATAACTTGCAAATTACAATTTGCACGTGATTAGATTGTGGTCACATATTTAATTTAAAAATAAATAAATTAAGCCGGAGGTCAAGTCAATGGGTCCATATTGCACGAAAATGCAATGCAAATAAGAATTGATCTTCGATTATTCAAGGATACTCTTGTCTTTTATCAATCTGAATTATTTCTCTAATAAAACCATAAATTATAAATATAAATTATTAGATATGTGTTATATCACAGTAAGACACGAATGTTAGGTTTAAGTCTTATTATGCGTCACACAGTGTTCATATATTGTACTGCCCCTGACAAAGTCATATCTTGTCACATCCCTTAAATAATTGATAACAACGAAAAATGACAAAAAATCATTAATACCTCAATTTAAGTCTTCTTTGTTGCTCTATATATGGCGGTCAACATAACGTAATTTAATGAAATAAATAGGAATTAGTTAGTTCTTTCTGACTAGTAAACTACATTGATAAACACATTAAAAAATAACAAAATTATAATATATATTTAAAAGCTACGCTTTTAAGTTTTATTGTCCATGGTGCTTCCTCCTAACCATTGTGTTTTACTTCATAAAAATACATATATATTTATGCTATGTTATGTTGTATTTTTATTTACATTGGGGTTTTACAAACTCGATAATGTTACAAAAATGTTTCAATGTATAAATATTTCTAAATAAAGTAAATGATTTTTTTATTTTGCCTTGGATACAAACTATGTGGTACAATTTCCTGATAATATAATTTGC